TAGAAGACCAGGGATTGGAGGCTCAACCCGTTGTAGGCTGCATATCTGTAGACAACTCAAGCTACAGAGATGAAACAGAAAGTCGAGGACTGAAAGATGAGGCAACCCCCAGATTTCAGGGATTCCTCAGTGACAGTGAGTCTTTAACTTCTTGTCAGATCAGTCCACTATCTGATTCTCTGAGCGAGGAAAAGTTGTGTGTCAACAAAGTTATTCAGATGGTGGTTTCAGAGGCCATAGACAACGTCGCCTCTAAACACAAGCTCTTCACAGAGCGCCTCACTCCTGACTGCATTGGTGATCGCCTGCTTGAGAAAATGTGGCCAGAAATTAATGACAAACATTTGGATCTATCTCCAAAAAGCCTAAAAAATATCCATAAGGCCATTTTAAAGGATCTTTGCAAAACACACAAATGCAAGAAAAAATATTTGATTTTTAGTCTGAGGGAGCAGCTTGATAACATTACTGTTCCAATCTTCACCAAACACCTGCTGGGGTTACCAAAAAGAGTACTCAGTGTATCCAAAAACCAAGACGAGTACTGGGAACTTGTGGAAAAATTCACTAGAGATCTGGTAATACACAGTATGGCCGAACTAAATAAGACGACGACATGGCATTCAGGAACAACTGACTTCATTGTACAGAGGCTTAGCCAAAAGATCTGGAACAAAATTTTGTCCAAAAAATATAAAATCTCCCTAGAGAACATTGAAGAACTCAGCTTGACAGTATACAATGATCTCCGTAAAAGGTGGCATTCTCCAGGACAGTTCATGAAGTTAAGCAACCCAACGGTTGACGAAATAATTGTCAACACTTTCAAAAAACATGCCAAGCTGAAGAGACGAAGTGTCATCTCTAGGATTTTCTCATTTGCACACTAAATGAGTGCAAATGAGTGCAAATGAGAAAAATGTGTGCTATTTCAAGACAAGCACACGTGCTTGTTTTAAAATAGCTTAAAATATCAATTTAAATTGGTCGATCTCATCTAAACTTTGGTTTTAAAACTAAGTTTAGATGAGATCGACCAATTTAAATTGGTGGAAAAAAAAAGAAGAGTGGTTATAATAACCACTCTTTTTCTCCTGCCTTCCTTCCCTCATCCCCAACTGGCCAAGGCAGATGGCCACCCCATTCCTGAGCCTGGTTCTGCTGGAGGTTTCCCCCTTGTAAAAGGGGGTTTTTCCTTCCCACTGTCGCCAAAGTGCTTGCTCGTAGGGGGTTGGAGTTTCTGTGTATTATTGCATGGTCTTGACCTTGCAATAATACACCATGAGGGAAGTGGAGGGGGGGAGGGGGGGGGTGGTTTGACACCGTTTCTTAACTTAAAATGTCCAATTACAACAGGACATTTTCAGTTAAGAAACAGTGCCACACCAAAATAAATAAATAAATAACAAAATAAAAAATATAAAATGAAATAAAAATACATTTTGTGTTTCATTTCATTTGCTGAAAATGGGATATCAGATTAGTTTAGTGTGTAAATAAAATGCCTTCCATCTGGTATTGTACCTTGTCTTTCTGTAACGTAGATCACAAACCAATATTTTCCCCATGACTCCACCGATCAGCTCGTGTCAATCTGGAGTTTACCTGCATACATCCTGTTCACTCTGTCAGAAGTTTTGCGCCTGCTAGTGATTTAGGAAACACCCCCAGATTGCCTGGTGATAGTCACAGTTTAGCGTGGGCAGTAGCCTGCTCAATACAATGTATAATTACGTATATTTACTTGTGGTAAAATTCACTAGAGATCTGGTAATACACAGTATGGCCGAACTAAATAAGACAATTTAGTTGTCTTATTTATAACAACTCATTACGTTATAACTACATTAGTGTACTTTGTTTCCTTAGCTCAGGCCTGCTGGAGATTGCCTTTACTCTCACAGGGACTTATCTGAATTAAAACAGGTCTCTAACATAGAGTATATAATAGAACTTTATTAATCCCTTTGGGGAGATCAATTTATTGTTTATTTTTAAGCACTCATGATGGATATCGGATTTAGGGATATCCGATTATAGGAAAATTTGTTAATTTCTGGAGGACGAAAACGTCCACAAGGTGCACTTGCTCAAAAGCCTAGCACAGTTAGCTTTACTGATTGGGGCGGACTATATTCAGTTCTGCTCTATAAAATGTAATTGTCGGAGATTATTTTTTTTTAACTGCTGTTCTTCATCTGCCAAGACCATAAAAACCACAAATAAGAGTTAGCATGAATCGACAACCTTACTGTAGCTTTAACTACAGTATTCGGC